GGGATGGCCATGCCGCAATCCCTTCTCCTCCATTCTCCTCTCGGGATCTTGGGCACGCACGCACACGCGCCCGGCGTGAGTTTAAGCCACCGGGTCCAGGACGCGAACCGTGGTCAACTACATGGGAGTCCAGTGACATAGCCATTATGCTAACTGCTGGTCCCTCTTTCTTTTTTTCCTTTTTTTTTTTTTTTTCAAGCGATTTTTGCTATAGGGCGCATGTGCTTGCCAGAGACGGAGAGACAGAAAGTTAGAAATCACTACCCAAGGGGGATGGCCACACCACAATCCCTTCTCTTCCATTCTTCTCTTGGGATTTTGGGCATGTATGCATGCATGGAGGCCCAGTGTGAGTTTCAGGCTGCTAGGTCTGGGACTTGAACCGTGGTCAGCCATGTGGGAATCGAGTACCTTTAACCACCATGCCACCTGCTGGCCCCCCAGCTTTCTTTTTAAAAATTTTTCACAGATTTTTTTTTTTCTGTAGGATGCAAGTGCTTGCCAGAGAGAGAGAGAGACAAAAAGTAAGAAATCACGCCCCAGGAGGGATGGCCATGCCACAATCCCTTCTCCTCCATTCTCCTCTTGGGATTTTGGGCACGCATGCACCCGCGCCCAGTGTGTTTAAACCACCGGGTCTGGGACTCGAACCGTGGTCTGCCATGTGGAATCCAGCTGCCTTAACTACTACACCACTGGCTGGTCCGGGCCCCAGCTTCTGACTCCATTTCTGGACACAGGCTGGTATTCCCTAGCTACTGAGAGGCAGGGTTGGGATCTCGGTTCAAGTCCAGGGTACCTTCCCCAACGTCATCATGCCCTGAGGTGTCACCAGGCCCACGTGGGTACAAGTAGTTACAGCCTGGACAGCGGGGTGACAGGATGATGCTGAAGAGGGGCCCCTCCTGGTGAACAGCCTTCCCCACAGTGCGAGCCCACAGTCCCTGGGGTGCCCTGCCTGGTCCTCTCCTTCATCCCCACCATCGAGCGGCATGCACTACTGAACATCCGCTCGTGTCATCTCAATCCCACAATGCAACTGAGGTTCAGAGAGGTTGCATGGCTTCCCTGAGGTCACACAGCAAAGGGGGCCCCTGGAATTCGCATTCTTCTCATGCACGAATGGCTCTCAATGAGGATTCTGCTGGCCGGGCTCCCTGCAGGAGGGTCTCCCTGTCCCATGACGACCGTGGTGGGGATGTTTCTTTAAGCACCAGGTCCTCCAGCTGGGCCCGGGGGGGACATGGAGTTGAGTCATGGGAAGGTCCTGTCTTTGAGGAGCAAGCTGTCTGGGGAGGAAGCCGGGACGGAGCACAGCTGGCTACCAGGACACGTGTGTTTCCTGTGGCTGCCGTGAACCAAAGACTTCAGACAACAGGAATGTCTCCTCTCCTGTTCTGGAGGCCAGAAGTCCAAAATCGAGGTGCGGGCACAGGAGGTTCTCCCTGCGGGCTCCTCTCTCCTGGCGGCTCCTGGTGTCCCTTCATGCTTGTTGGTTTGTCCCCCGCCTCGCTCCAGTCTCTGTCCCTGCTGGGCCTCCCTCTCTCTGTTTTTGTCTGTTTATTTTCTCATAGAAGGTCACTTGTCACAGGATGTAAGGCCCACCCTATCCAGGGAGATCTTAGCACAAGACCCTTAATGACACCTGGGACTAGCAGTTAGCGTCATGGCTATGTCGCTGGTCTCCCATGTACCTGACTGCGGTTCGCGTCCCGGGCCCGATGGATTAAACTCACACCGGGCGCGTGTGTGTGCGTGCCCAAGATCCCGAGAGGAGAATGGAGGAGAAGGGATTGCGGCGTGGCCATCCCCACAGAGGGTGATTTCTCACTGTCTCTCTGTCCCCTGGGCTCGGAGGGGTTTGGTACTAACAGCAGCCGGTCCCCCATAACCCAAAGGATTGCGGGAGTTGGGGGTGGCCTGGGCATGGCATAGATACCAGTGAACCACCCCCCCCTGCACCCCGTCCTGGGCCCACCACCCTGGACCCTCCCTGCTGAAAGGAACCTCAGTTGCTTCACTCCTCCCCTGATAGATTTTTTTTTTGTAGAGGGGACATTGTGGTTAAGGGTCCGGGAGTCCCACCCAGCCGACAGAGGTTTTTTTTGGAGAGGTTTTTGTTATAGGGCACATGCACTCGCCAGAAAGACAGACAGAGACAGAGAGACAGAAAGCGAGACATCACCCCCCAGGGAGGATGGCCACGCCGCAATCCCTTCTCCTCCATTCTCCTCTCGGGATCTTGGGCACACACGCACATGCACCCGGTGTGAGTTTAAGCCACCGGGTCCGAGACTCGAACCGCAGTCGACTACATGGGAGTCCAGCGACATAGCCATTACGCTAACTGCTGGTTCCCTAGACTTATAAAAAATGTTTCCGTCCCCTCCCCCGCTGGAACAGAAGCCCCCCAGAGGCAGAGAGCTTGTCCCCATTTTGTGTGTTGCCTGTCCCAGTGTCCACACGGCAACAATGAGAGTGACAACCCCTCTCCAGCAGGGCTATGTCATGGGGAGACCGAGATGGCACCTTGAAGGTCCCCGACGGGGCAGGATTCCTTCCAGAGACCCTACCCCCGCTCCATGCAGGGTCAGCTGGAGGAATGCGGTGGCTCCAGCCTCTTCCTGCCACCCCTGCCTCAGTTTCCCTATTCTGAAGGGCTTCCCTGGGACTGGCAGGGGGTGTGTCTAAGACGTCACGATTTCTAATAATAATCCGCAATGCTTTTCACAGCGTGACTGATGGGCATGACAGCGAGTCGTCCTGCAACAATCGGGGCACCTCGGGAAGATCCTGGAAGCCAGCGGGGACCAGGGTCCCCTCAGCCCCCCACGGGAGGCCCTGACGCAGCTCTGAGTGTCCGGGATAGTCGCGCAGGCGGGAGCCCGCGGAGCACCTCGGGGATCCCTCGGGGGTGACGCTGCTGTTGTGGAGCGCGTGTTGACGCGGTTGCCGTGGAGACGGGCGGGGGCGGGCCCTGGCTGGGGGGCGTGGCCTGGCTGTG